TTAATGAAATTTGTAGACAATTTTCCTAGACGGTTGTTTGGTTGCATGACATAGGCGGCAACGTCCGCCACTACCTCACATGCCCCCATTCCTGCATCACATTTATTGCCCTAGGCCGTTTATTCAGCAGCTGATATTGATAAGGAATACTAAGACTGCGTGTGTAAACAAAAGTAGATCCCATGAAAGTATTACCGCACGGTTCCAAGAGTGCCCTTCTACCAATTTTGATGAGTATTCTTGATACAATCAGATAAGCGGTTAAATTTGCGCAGATAATTTCCCAAGTTTTGACTGCGTTTGCTTCTTTAACGTTTCCTGGATGTTTACCCAAAATAAGTCACAGAGTACATTACTGATCGCAGATCAATTCAAAAGAAACGAAATGCACTCTACGCCTTGACTATAAGTGATGGTTTGCAGGCGTTTTGCCGAAATCAGCGTCCTAACGTGCACGAAACTGGAATTCTGAAAAAAATAGTGTGAGACGTCTGCCTTTGGAGCCTACTGTAATTGCATGGCAACAGTAGCCAATTAAAGAGCTATTACATTCTTATTACTTCCGTATTTTCCTGCGTTTGTGTTAACTTTGGTCAATTGAATTCTGCTTTTCTACTGTCCATTAGAAGCAGGCGTTTTTCATGCACATACTAAAGTGCAGCCGAAATTAGCGGGACACACATTTTTTTTCATTCTTTTTATTCTTACAGGTGGCATTTTGGCTGTCAAAAAAAACTATTTTATTCAGCAAACAGCAGTACTTTGCATAACGTTTCAACATTGTCAACAAGCATCTTTTTGGTAAGTTATGCGGATTCCTATGGCAGCATGAAAGACCGGACCTGAGGTGGTGACAACCTTGCATTACCGGTCCCCCAGAGCTGACTTTCCAACGCCACCAAGGCGTGTGAATCCAGATGCCCAATTGTCAAGTTGGGATCGCTTACCCCTTAGCCAAAAGCGGCCCGATCTTGAGACTAAACAAAGAGAGGAATTCTAAATAAGCCAATCTTCAACGCTTTATCGAATCATATCGTCAGAGCTGCAATAAGCTTGGTTTCACCAACATTGACAAAGCTTACTCGATGAAAATGATCTGAATTTTGAAAGAAACCCAAAATTTCCGAATCTCGCCAAGTGCTGTAAAGTGTTTATTTTTATTTAGGAATGCGAAAACTGCGAGCTTCAGACAGGCTGCCGCACAATCCAAATGCTCTTCGTGGAGTGCTCAATTAAATGACATTTTCGTGAAGAACTGCCTGTGTGTTTTAAAATTCTACCTTTTACGCCGCTGATGGGATTAAGTGAAAGCGCTTTAGGGAGGTGCCCTATGAAGACCTTTTTAGCACTAAGCCCTCATCAGTATATTGTCACAACTAAGCACGTAGCTGCAGAAACGCTAATCCTATAGTCCCTTAACGATTAGACGGAAGGGAATTTTCTCTCGTGGAGCTAATTAATGACCGTCGGTTTTTGTGTGTTATAAAGCAGTGTGATTTCTCGTTACATTTTTCAATTTTAGGTTGCGTGGACAGAGAATAAATACGTAATGCCTTAAAAGGCCTGAGGCCTGACTCGTAATGCGTGATTAGTTTTTCATTTTAAGTGAGCGAGACTGCTTTTTAGCGATAATCAAACGTAAAGTACAATTACCTACGAGAGCTTAGATTATTCCTTTAAAATGGTCCAAAACTTGTTTTTAAAATATGAGGATTTATTTAATTATAATCAGTCATGATTATTGATACTCCAAGCAACTCAAATTAAACATAATTCGTAATCTTAAAAACACACTAAGCATTCGTAATAGTTAAAACATCGAAGTAATTTACCTTTACTTTTAAAGTCTAAAGCTTCGGCGGCACATAGTTGATTCTACATTTTCAATTTAACATAATCACAAGGTACTGAAATGGTGCTTAACGCCAAGAAAAGTACATTACAATTTAATTGGATTAAGTTGGATAAAGGTAAATTGATATTCGATTTGCATTATTAACAACTTTTTTGCTTTCATGCCAAAGTCTAGTTTTAAAAGATTTCATGTATTTTGTTGGCACTTATAAAAAAGGTCTAGTGTGGTTTTAATGGTGCCAAGATGTTTGCGTCGACGTTCTCACAAATAATGTGAAGCAACACTGTCTGGAGAGCGCAGGAAATCAAAAAAAACATAATTTTCAGTGGATAGGTTAGCTGCCTTTCTTGAATTTGTATCTCCCCAAGTAGCAAAGGTTCGTGTGCGTGACAGCGAAGTGATGGTGTGATGGTATGCTACAAACTCGGATCAAACAACTGTACCATGCAAATTTGTTTTGGCACTGTGTTTTCGTTAGCCTTCACTCCATGCAACAGGAACGTTGTCAAGATCTCGGGGATTATTATAAACGCCAAATTAAAGTCTTGGAGGCCTAGATTAAAAATTGAGTTTTATCAAAACAGCGAATCCATTACTGTTGCCATCTTAACTAACTCTAATGCACTACTTGGTGATTATTGGTCATGTTTTGAATGTAATGAGGTAGGTAACATTTCAATGTGTGATTCTAGCCACAATAATGGATTTTCGTGGATGAATTTTTTAAGTGAATGTTTACTAACTTATCTAATTGCAAAAACAGGTGACAACCTGGTTAAATAATTTTTGGTAAAAAAAATTGGAGATTGAAAGAGATATCGTTTGAGTCTGGCGCAAAAGCTTAGCCTTTGTTTTGGATTTAGATAAGCGCCACTGAAATAACAAAGTGATATTCTTCGTTGTAAGGAGAATAGAACCACTGTTGGATTTAAATTGTCTTTCAAGGCTTGGTTTAAAAAGCTAATCTGATTTATAATAAGCAGGAACTGTTACCTATTTTCTGTTTTAAATGTCCGGACACCTCGGAAAACTACCCCTTTCAATAACCCACAAGCCTGGTCATTCTCGCCATCTTCTCAACTTGCTCAGTTCCCCGTCATGAGCCCGCTTCTAGCCTGACCCCCGAGTGCGTGGGCGACTAAGCGACCTGCACGACCATATTTGCATATCGACACAGAATTATGGCTGAGATGAACCATCTATTGGGCGTTCTCAAGCATCTGCACATTGCAACGAGGCGACAGTCGGCAATCTCGCAGGACGGTTATTCAATGACATTGGTCGACTATCAATGCATTCTATTCTTGTGTATTTCACGATGGGAGATCACGTTTTACGAACCACGACCCGACGTGGTCACTTGGCTTCCCCACGCCTTAACTACTGGTGGCGGTAGTTGCTAGCCTGCATTGGCGACATCAACCCATTTCCTGGCCTAACGTATAAGACAACTGTCTCACCATACTTAACATTTAAGAAAGCAAATATTCCAATTATCATATTTATTCAGTTACATGTTACTTCGTACCTTTCCTTTCTTTGTAGCCAATCCACCACGAGTGGTCATACTGATCTGGTCCCATTTATTAGTCATTCGGCATTGATGGGTAGGAAAATCAAAAAGACTTCCATTATTATAGTCAATTTTAAAGTATATTACTAAATAATATAAACTAACATGTTCGATTCCAGGGGATCTACATCAGTTAAATACAACGGTTTCAATTTTTTCGAATTTCTTTTTCGGTAACTCAATTCTGTTCGTGTAAGTTATGATTTGTAAATGATGATAGATTGTGTGAATAAGGAAACGTCAGTCGAGCGAATTCCACGTAGATGTTTTATAAAAGCCTTTTTCACTCCAAGTCGTCTTTGAATTCTGCCTATCTCCTCCTCCTTGACAGTTGCCTTACAACTACTACAGTTATCATAGTGCCAGACTGCTTTATCATTTGTAATTACCATTTACCATGATGCTGGCACACGTTTTCCCTCCTTATTTTTTACTACATTGGCAACGCCCTTTGGAACTACCGATGTATGTATTAACCTGGAGGGTGAAGATCTAGTTACTCTTTAATAATGCATTCCAGGAGGGCTGCGAAACACCACGTCTTCTCGGCGGCAAAAGTCCGCTGTCATTTGACCCAGGGTAAGAATTCTTTTTGTTTTGTGCCTGTTACGCCCGCTTGACATAAATTGGTACCAGAGTTACGTGGCCCAATTAAATTTCCAGTAAATTTAAGTTTTTAATGATTTTTTTCACTAAGACTGCTTTTGTGTGCCCAGTTTCTAGAAACTGTTGCCATCTTTACATCCTAATCAGTAACTTTGAATTGTGCATGGCGCATACACTCGGTCTTTCCCTCCACTTTGGACAAGAAGTGGCTTTCATGTACCCAACTTCACACAAATGTTAAGTTAGACACTTATAAATTTTAGAAATTTGTTGCCTAATATTATGAAGTCACTTTATCAAAGTTGGCTGACGCATTTAACTCAAATGTAGAGGCCCTGTTTGCCACAAATGGATTTTCTGTCAGAGATGAAAGCCAGCACATGAATTTCGTTCAAGTCTGTAATACGAAATGCCTTTGTGTGTGTGCATATTTTCTTATTAAAATCTAGCTCGTCTTAAAGGGACTAGAGAGCCTGCAGCTTTTCTCTACTAGTCACATATGGTTTTCTCAAAACTTTGAGGTTATATTTGACCAAGGTATTTATTTTGCATAGCCACATTCCCAATTTATGTAAATCGCACTTCATCTGCTACCTACTCGACATATAATGTCAGGACGAAATTGAGTGGCTTCTTAAGAGTTAGATAAAGTTACAAGGCATGAGTGATCAAAATGCTTGGTCGAAGAAACTCAGAGGAGAAACGTAAATTATGATTAACAGGCAAATTTTCTGGATCGAATATCTTTTTACAGTAAAACCACAGATTTATTGCAATATTTAGTTACGAAATGGGAAAAATCAGCTGTGTAAACGTGCTGCGTGAGTTGGTGAACACGATGGACATGTAGACATTCTGATTGGCTAGTGGTGAGAGGCAATTAGGGAAAGTTACAGTGCCAGTGTTAGCATATAAGAGAGCCTTTTCACGAATTTCGCTAGTTGGGAGTTTAAAGTTTCCAGTGTTATGTTGCAGACATTAAGAAGTCGTGTTGTTGACGGCTGGCGTTCCCTTCCGATCCCAAGGGCAGGACAAGGGGAATCAGGGACGCGACCGCCACTTCTTCGACAGCCAACCGTGGATGATGCATCCAGTAGAGAACCACTCAGTCCTCCAACGTGGAGCCCACCAGTTAAATACCAACCAAGCGAATTCGGTGAGCCCATCTATTTATAACTTGAAATGGGCTCCAGCAATAACCTTGGGTGCGTGTGGATGCATTCATTTACAAAAGCGTTGCAACCAATTTCAAAAAAACGAAAAGACATAATTCATAAAACACCTCGTAAATTTAGATCACAGGGCTCCATTAGTGGCATGTGCTGTATCTACCTGGCATAATTTAAAGTAATCAGCTTACAACAAGCTGCAAATGTTTGTTAAAAAATGCACTCGATAGCAGCCACTTGAACTCTGCCAAGGACGCTTAAATTGCAACTGTTGACTTGCAGGCCCTTTGTGCTTAAATCTCCTGCAACTATTTTGGCCGGTGAGCAAACTAATTGGCAAAAAATGGAATCCTTGGATTGATCTTGGAAAATAATCTAGGTGGAAACCTGAAATTTGTACTCGACTAAATAGCTAGCTTCAATTACTTCCACAAAGCCGCCTAACTATGAATGGTTTAAGAGTAAAGTTTATTTTGCATGTTTGCATGGCTGAGCACACGAGACATCTTGATTTGGGCCTATCAACAACTCACTTCAAGTACCTTCACACGAACCTATTTACTTTACAAAGGTGAAATCTTCCGCCTCAAAGGGCACCTGAGGCAAGAGTTCTCGAGATTACATTTATCTTAACCTTCTAAATATTTGTACAATGTACTCATGTCTGTTATGAACTTACGTAGTTTCTTGGTTAGTTAAAGTCTCTCCTACAGTATTGATTTTGAGCAAATTGTAAGCACACTTAATTTGGTTCTGGTGCTTGTAACTTAGGAGGATTTTGTATTTACATTCTTGATAAGTTGAAGCATTTCCCTAAGTTACGTGGCCCGACTCAGTGAAATAAAATTACCTGCAGTCAGGTTTTGTTGACACCTGTCAAATTACATGACTCTTGAAACTCGGAGGACGAGTAAATGAATACAAATGAGCTAGATAAATTTGTCTAACAAACCTACAATACATTCCCTTACAAGATTGACCCTGAGCTGACAATTTCTTCCTTTCATACAAAGGCATTCGATCCATTTTCACGTGTCATATGTTCCCAAATTAAAACAATGCATTTTAAACACTTCAGGGAACTAATTTACCTGTAGTGAGAGATTATCACACCACTGCGTAAATTGCCCACACACAGCTTCCTTTGAGTTGTAAAGGGATGTGGCCAGATCATCACCGTACACTTGCGAGCACAAATATTCCCACTTTATAGACGCACGTCAATTATCTGTAAAATTGGAACTATTTGTGCAAAAAAAAGTTTTCAAAATTTAAATGCTGCATGAAGCAAAACAGAGGCATTTTGATGAAGTATCCTAAAATAAGAGAGAAATAAGGTCAAAGATGTAACACCAGCTTGGGTTCTAATAAGCCGCTCGTAACTTTCGGCATGAAGCTGCTTCATCCCTGTTGGAGATAAAAAGACCTGAAATCCCGGCTTAAAAAGTGCTCAAACTTCAGTTGACGACAGCTCTTATAATAAAACAAAGCTACAACAGAAGGTTTTTGTTAAGACAGAAACCAAACTGGACGTTAGGCACTTAAAGCAAACCAACAACCGGAACCTTATCATCTGAAAAGTCTTTTTTTAACAACAACAAATTCTTTTAAGATTCTTTGAGGAAAGCGCCGCAATAATATTTAAAAATACTTTGGGCGTGTATGTTTTCATGCTACTTATTTTCAGTGTAGTAGATTCTGTGGATACTTTGAGGTTTAAATAAGAATGATGATTGTCTCAAAAAGTCATAGTCACTCGTTATTTAGACTATTTTTTTACAGAACTAATTTATTCCTCGCAATCCTTCAATTGGGTCTTTCAAAGGCATTTGAGGTTTCTTGATGCTTAACGGACACTGCCGCATCCATAAGGCGACGATGCCAACACTATCTCGCAAACCCTTTTAATCCAATCATGAAACTAAGAGCTAATCTGACATGACTTTGGATTAACGTAAGGTGCTATTTCCCGAAGCTTACATGGGTATCCAAAATTATACGAGAGTGGAAAATAGTAAATTTAAGTGGCGTCCTTTCGGATCATTCTTTCCTATTAAGTCTACATGCCTGGTATGATTTACACAAATTTAAGCACTCCATTTACGTGTCAAACTTGAAACGGCAATCTATGAAGCTTTTCAAGAAACTTAGATAGCAACATCACTTTACTGTTAAGTCTTTAAGAGCTAAATTTGAGTTATTGATTTTCAGGAGTTTCCACATTGGAGCATGACGTTTGAGCAAATTTTTTATGACAAGATATTAAAAAAATGGGACTAAAAACAGGTCAAGAATATCCGGTTAATAACATTACACAATGCATAATTTAAAATTTCTTTAAACATAAAAGTACCAGTTCATTTGACCAAACACAGTTCCCTTCTACATGAAATCGATTGTTACTTGTATTATTGGTTTGGACATAAAAGCGTTTGTCATCTCGCCTCACTTATTCCCTTTAAATATTTTGATAGTCAAAAGCAGAGAACTTGGACGACTCGATCCGAATCTTTACTTGAATGAAACCAATGAAGATCTCTATGACGTCCCATTGGACCACCTAGGTCGTGTGTGGTTTACTATTTCTTATGACGAGACAGCCGAACAGTTGCGTATCACCATTCATAAGGCACGAAATCTCCGAGCTCCGCACCACCAGTCACTTCGATCGTCGGGCAGTATTGCGCCTAGTGAAATTACCACTCTCAGTCTTCTTACACCGACCCCCACACAAGACTGCAGAATCAGGTATAATGCCCTTTTATTTGACAGGCCTGCATAGCCCAGATAGAACTGGTTCACATCCAGAACTTCACTTGTCATTTGCTAGAACGGTCTTCAGATGGGTTATGAAAAGTAGACTCATGTATAAAATTTTAAGCAGAATGCTTTCTTTCAAAAATCACAGTTAGATTGGTACTATTACTTATATCAGTCGAAACTAACTATCAGAGAAGCAACGACTTCTAGAAAACTTGATTTATGTAATTTTTCACGCCTTTTTTTATGTTCTATTCTATTTTCTTCTATAAGTTTAAGGAAAGACCTGATTGAATAAATCTGTTATATTCGTTTAACTTGTCATTATATTAACCTCGTCTTTGTGAAATAATATCTGTGTGAATGTTTAAGTTATTTTTAAAAAAAAAGTTGATGAGGTGACTTGATATCGGCAAGGCGCATCTGTTTGGCAACGATCCAAGACGATAATTGACTGGCCCGACAAATTTTTGGAATTTAGCGCACGGATCGCACTTTTACTGCCAGCCTTAACTCCTCAATAAACTATAATTCTTTCGCCAGTAATAATCAAATAATGCTGAAATGTTTAGGTTTTAAATAACCGCCTTGTTTTTCATACATAACTGAACATATCAGGTGATCTATGTGCAAAAACAGCTGGACGACTTACAATGGGAAGATGTGTCTGGTTGTTTGCTGTTTCTGGCAATTCAACGTGGTGAAATAATCTTTCTATGTTCCTATTGTTTGCTTTTTCACAGGAAGGAAAAACTAGGCTAGCGAAAGGTCGACTTTTCTTTTCTACATCACTTCACAATGCTGCCGAGATGCGACCCATTTTATTTTCCGAAAAACCACCTGTTTTTACAATCCAGGTCATGAGGTGTTTTGCCAACCTCAAAGGTTGGTTCACGAGAAACCAGTGAAACGTGACGTTTCAAAAATCACTGAAGAGTAACCTGGCAATAAATTTTATTCCCCACTTCAATTCTTATTTATGCGAACTATCAACAACTTTACAAAATGGTCCTGAACTGTCTATTGAATGCCAAACCAATAGATCTTGATTGCACGAAAAATTCAACTGCCAACTATAAAATAGTTTCCGGTTTGTAACCAAGTAAATTATTGACTTCGTGAAATAATTGACTGTCGAAGGAAATTTCTGCTGGGCCAAATGTTGTCATATGGTGCCATTTGTTTGCTCTGTTATTCGGCGTTAGGTGTCACAAGACTAGTGGTCTAGTTTAAGCAAAAAAACCTTCAACAACTCGACACGCAATCATTCCAACTTATTACTTGTCACAGTCTAGTGCGAATATGGAAACTTCACTTTCAAATGGCCTGGGATATTTTAAATCCTCGCAGAAGTAAGTTTAATTTGTGTAAACAAATGCGCAAGTCAGTTAAATGTTAAATATTATTCTTTATAACTCCGTAAATTTTTTTGAGTACATTAAAAGCCATGAACCTACATGAACTTGATTACACAACCACACAATCTTGTAATTTTCTGAGAAGCGCGATGGGCTACTTGCTTCTTCTGTGGTTCATTTTTTAATCGAAGCATAGTCTTGATGTATTAGCAAGCTAAGATACTTCTCTGTATTTTAAATGCCAGATTTTATGGCATTTTTAACCCGTCATTTATTTAATTCAAACAAATCAGTGTTTTCTAAATAAAGCCACATTTTACCAAGAAAACGGTTTAACATGTATGACCGCCGAACAGAAAGAGTTGGTTACTTGACACCTATGCGATTTAGCAAGTCTAAACCCCATTCGTTTCTTTTATCTGTAGTTCGCCAAAACATTCTTTAATTACTTTAATTTTGGGGTCTTTTGTGTTACACTGTGCCTTCTAAATCCGTTGCAATTTTTTTAGCAATGACCAAAGATTTGAATTAGAGGCTCGTTCACACCAAGTTATTTCAGATGCTCCATTCCCAATTAATTCCAACATGATTCTTTTCCAAAACGTTTGAATATGTATTGCCAACCTATGTTTATGCACCCATTGTGGTAGCTAAAGCTTTCTCAGGGTATTCGTCCCTGGCTGGCTTATTATACGTTCCAATATTGCAAAACTAGGGACTCCTTCCTTAAAGTCATCTCTTAAAAAACGATATGCAGAACATCTTAAACAATTCTGTCCCAGTTCACAAAAGGTGAGAATGTCTAGTGAAAGGTCAAAATACAGTCACACTATTTTTTCCATCAGAAATTTAAAAAAAAATTAAGTAAGGCCTAGGTCATGCTGGCAGGTAAACGCACGACAGCGCAGGGGCAAACAAAATTTGAAATATGAAGCAATAACTTCAGATTTTAACGGTGGTAAGTTGGGATAACGGTGTAATCTCATAGCTTTATCACAGTTTCCACGCAAAAGATATTGGCTACGACTTTAACAATAATAAAATGAGCAGAAAAATCAAATAAGGCATGGCGTTGCGATTTTTGTAACTTTATTTTGACTGCAAAGTTAATATGTTCGAAGAACATTTAATATTAATGTCACGAGTGGGTGATCGTCAACCAGCAGATTTACTTGACTTTTCTGGAAGTCAACTGGAAACTAATTTGAGCAAAGTAATGAAAAACAGCACAGTTACTTAACCAGGTTTCAGGTCACATGTTCGAAAAATTTTCTTACTGGGGCTAACGTGGCTGCTGTCACTGACGCATACCTTCAATTCGCCAACAGTGTAAAATGTGGGTGAGAAATGTTGAATCGTGCATTTCAAGAATGCTTTGTGAATTCGGTTTTGCTCACTAAACACCTCTCCTTTAACCGGCCACCCTTCGCAAACTTTATTTGAAGGCAGTCAGCTAACGGAAGTTAACACTCGTTATGAAAATTTGCGAAGTGACAGCCCTTTAGTTAGGCCTTTTATACTTCGGCACATCTCCATGCTGTTTTAAGTATCAAATAATTGCACAACTAACTCCACAAAGAGTAATACCTTACTAGATGCTTAATACCCAATTAGAGCTCGGTTACCTCGAGCAGCTGGCTAGAGGCTTAATCGCAAATTTGAGAAGCTGATACTGACGCTATCCAGACAGGTACTTGCCCAAAGGTGATATAAATCAAGTGCTCATCACAGGAACAACTTTGCATATCCAAAATAAGGAACGTTAAATTTGAAAACACCCTATTATATTTACCCATTTTATTTCCGATAGAAACTTTACGTAAACTTTTGTGCACAAGTAGCTGTAAATTCGACTATTTTCAAGGCGTTTGTTTGATTACCCGTCTACAAAAGCTTTCTTTGGCGTTCGCCTCCCTGACCTTGGGACGACGCAGTTGTGCGCATCCAGGACAATATGCCAACCCATGAGCTCAGTTAAATCAGTAAATAAGATTATATAGGTTTGAACATGACCTTGTTTGTTTATCTACCTGAAATCACCATCAGATGAATGAGACCCTCGCAAAACAAAGTATTTAGTATTCATCTAATGAAGGCCGCACTTGGAACAGGGCGGCTTAATTAAACTCCTTCAAGTCTTGCTTTATAATACTCTTCCTTGTGATTAAAATAGATCACGGCTTTATTCTGGGCATTAAATTGATTTCATGTTATATAGTAAGCCATACTTAATCAAAGTCACACTGGAAAATCCCCCAATTATTTATAGATACAATAAATGCATAAATTTACAGCTATATCAGAATCATGGTAGTAAGCCAAGATTAAGGCGGCTTATTTAATCAATTATCATTCTGTTAGTCACTAACGTAGACTGCCTGCAGGACTTACTTAGAAACGGTGACAAAATAAAATTTTACTTAATCCCCTACAGTTTAAAAAGTAGCTCCGTCATCAGTGAATTAGCTTAATTTTATTTGTCATGTCGTACACATTTCGGCTTGAACTCTTGAGACTCTTTACGCAATAACTGACGAATTTTCTAGAAGGGGCTTCTGTCATCTCGCGTGATTTTAGAATTGATTAGTAAATCCAACCTAGTGGCCCTAGGCCAGACCAGTGTGACATCGAAACCACGCACCTGACTGCAGACATCTACACATCTTAGGCAGTTTGTTGTTAGCTGATTTGTTGCGTATTTTGTTGTAAAAAAATCCTCATGTGCATTTCAAGGCTTTTGATCCTTACACTTTCTGTCTTCATTTCTGCTGTCATCTGATTAAAGTCCACGTTCTGGCGTTGCAGTTGGGTTAATAGGTGATTTTAGCAATGTGGACTGTGTATTCAGCAGGCATTTGTGATTAATAAAAATTTCAGTCATTGGATGCAATCATAGAGACACTTTCAGGTACCATGGGGGAAATCAAATCCATTACAATTTTTTTAACTTGGCATCCATTGGCAAGCCGTGTATACTGAACACCAACTTCTTTGTAAAATTTGAAATAATCAGGACTCGGGACTTGAGTTTTAACCAGTATGTCAGCTGTGAAAATCTCACTGCCTGCACCAACAGCTGATTCGACAAATGACTTCATTGCAGAAAATTTTACTCCACATTTATTATATCGGTATCGGGTTTGATCAAACCTCATTGCCACGCATTCAGGTGTCCTTGCATTAATGCTGATCCTTTCACTGGGTAACTGTGTGCTGATTCGTTTAAAGATTTCAGGATAGAACTAATAAGTCATTATATATGACTCAATATTGCACGTTTTTCCGTTTCTTTACTGGCACCAAATCCATTAATGGCTAGGCATCCACATTTTCTGAACCACGTGTTCATTTATATTCAAATGTTACTGTACGTACAACAATATTTGGTCGTTTTATGCCTCTACATGAAGATCTTGACCATGATTTTTTGTATTCTCTGAAATTATACTCTTTTCCTTGACTATTTGCAAAACATTACGAATGCGCCAATTTCTCGCTGGCTAACAATCCGTTTTCGACTATCAAGACTAGTATTACACCAATGTCAAAAACCTTCAGCTTTTATTAAAATGCTTCGAAATAAATTAACTATACACAGTTCCAGCACGGCTTGTCATCAAATGTTCTTCACCTAACCGTTTGAGAGGAGCATGGCAAATAACCCGTGACCATTTAGCAGTTGTGTAAAGAGGAAATGCATTTAGTTAGTCATGTTTTAGGATTCGCAACCCGCTAAACATGAAACCGATTTCAATTTCATGCCCTTCTATTTTTTAGGGTTTACATTCAGCGCTCAGAGAAAAAGTTCCACGCAACCTCAATCAAGAAGCAAACAAACAATCCAACGTTTGAAGAATCCTTTACCTTTCAAGTAAACCAAATGTCACTTTTTGCTCAAGTTTCAGAGTTTTGTCCATCCATTTTAGGTCGGTTCATACAGGGCTCGGGTTGAAAATAGTTGAAAATAGTTTCGCGCTAAAAATAAGTGAAATTTAAACTCCCATTTTGTAAAACTGATGTCTTCGTTACATCAACCGGTAATTTTGCAGACAGTCTTTTTTCAGTGATACGTTTAATATCACACTGAATTCTTTGACGGATTAGCTTTTTTTAAAAGACTAGGCGACTGCGTGATAACTCTCCTCTAGCTATTATTCAGAAGCAACTTTAGCTCTTTTAAAAAATAATATTCTGAGGCAGTTTATGTACAAAGTGGTGAGATCTATTCAAATGCCTGGATCACGAATTTCTGAAAGCATGAAGAATTTGATTGCTGAGACGGGATTTAACTATATAAGTGTAGATATTCTTGTTAGAAAGGCCTTAAAAATGCAAATGGCTGACGTGGTTTGCTTTGCGTGAAATTTTGCCTCACCATGATAACCTATTAGTTATAACGAAAATCACCCACGGAAGACCAAACAGGTGTGATGCCAACCTAATTAGTACGTAGTAAATGTAATCACCTTTCCGGTGTACATTGGTAGAGTTTGATGACAGTTTGCTTGAATTAGAAAAAAATGTTAATAAAGGAAATTGAGGAAGGTCAGACTGTCACTTTACACAAGTGATAATAAATACCGTAGAAAATTGTAGTGTCAATTTTGAAAGTCCTATTCACTCAGATTGCTCAACACAGTGAAATTAGCAGCTTAAACTTAAAGTTTAAGCGCCGTTACTGCCCTGTAGGCACTGCAGACAGTTAGCTCATGTGCAGTAGAAGTTTAAAGCTTATATAGGTGTTAAATAAATACTTACTATTTTGAGTTTGATCGTTCTGGAAAAGCGATATTCATCTTTGTACTTGAGAGTGAAGATAGCAGGAAAAGCGCTATTTGGAAGCTTCAAGTAAGTAACTACGCTCCTAATATAAAATGCACAACTCTAGTAACATGCATAAATATAAAAAGTGAAACAGCTGTCATTTTTACGCAAGTTTTTCGTTTTGCTCTAGTGATCATCCAAGTCGTATTGTTTTGTGTCAACAGCTTGTAACAAAAGCGTTTTAGGCTTAATGCCTGTTTAGCATTGTAAAACTACAAATGAAAAAACAAAATATTTTTTGTGAAATTTAATCTCCCCACCAGACGCTGACCAGGTGAACAAACCCAGTGTGCGGAGTCCAAATCGCATTTAAAACAATTGAAAATAAGGATGTAAAACATGGCGTTATTCGTGCTTTGTAAATGATGTATGAATCTCTTATGTCTGCTCTAACTCAAGAATAGCATACTAGTTTTTTTAAATAAAGTATTCGCTCAATAACTTGCAGTCTGACGGAATTTCAGAATTTTTTCAAAAAATTTTTGCTTTGAGGACAAAAGCTGTGTTTAGATAAAACGAAGGGGTCTCTGTTTTAAGTTCAGCAAAGTCCTTGACATGCAATAAACTGCCTAAGTGTGAGAAGGATGGCGAAAATCAAAGGTAGATGCCATCGCTTTCCAGCATAGGTGAGCTGACATAATAAAAATTGTGGAAGATGTAGCTCCCTATTGGTTCGTGTATTTCTATTTGGCACCTTGACTGGGTCCAAGGTTATCAACAGCGGAGCTCATATCTAATAAGACAGAGGAGGCTTTTGACTAGGTTTGGCATCGAGTTGATTCTGGGGCTATTGATTATGCTGGCTGTGTATCGAGCAAGTGTTCCATTCGCATTCACGGAATTATTGTCAAAAATATTCGAATAAAATATATCCCACAAAAACAAATCACTAGTTGTTCGGTTTGTTTAAAATGAAGTAGCTTTTAAAAACTTGTGCAACACATATCTTAAAAAGGGTTTGTTTGCCTCCAAATACTTGAAACTTTTTATGTGAACTCATTTAAAGTCATCAAAAAATTGGACGGCATTGAAGATCACTTCTAGTAGATAATCATTCAGCTGTTTTAAACGTTATTGGGGAAAACTGATTTATCTCACAGGGACGTATTGGATGAGGGAAGTGTCAGGTAAATACAAGTGACTAAAATCGGAAAATAAGTTTACATTTGTTTGAGAAAACCACTTAGCTTTTCAGAAAGCACAAGTCGCGAATTTAAAGGTAACCACCACTAATGACCCTTCAAGGCGACCACGTTCTTTCCCGAGGAATCTAATTTAGGCTGGATGCCAGCCAGTGAAGAAGTCATTCCTTCTTGTAATGGAAGTTGATTTTGTGTATTCGGGTCAAATGTATATTACTTTAATTATAAATTTTTATGTGCAAAATTAGCTTCCAAAGCACGAATTGTCCAATCAGAGCATCAGACTCGATGTTCTCTCAATTGAAAAGACGAAGCGGACTTTGCTGATAGGTTACGTCTCCTTTCCTTTGGCCGTCATCAACCAAACTGGCTCTCAATGGAGGCCAATGCGCGTTGCTCGGGACCTCCAGCTGTGTGATAGCTCAAATGTAAATCTTGTTCCCAATTTTCCAACCATTATGAGTAATAACCTAGGCATCTGCCACAAATAAGCATTTTCTCACAAGGCTGGCACCACATGAGTCGTGAGAAGCTACATTAAAAGGCAACTTTGAGCTCCAAACACGCGGTTTCTGATTCAAGCTCTCGCTTTTGCAATCAATAACGGAGATTGGTTTCACCACTAAATTTGTCTTACAGTCACGCTTGAAAAGATCATTTGCAAAATTAATCACTTTTGAACTGCTCAACTCTATGGCTTGGCTTTAAATTACACCAGAAGAACTTGTACAAGTTCCGGATATTAATAATCCCCAAATTAATTCCCTGGAACAGCACATATTTTTAGTCAAATAGTAAAACCATTCAAGTGTGCCATTAGTAAACACTTTAAGTGGATCGTGAATGTGTCGCTGAAAAAGTATTTGTCTCAGCCTAAGTTTAGTGAGCAGCTAAGGCATTTACTTAAACAAAGTGAGCAAGGGCCTAGAATAGAGACGAAGGACGTAAATTGCTATTGCTTCTTATTATAGGTTCCTGGGAATATACTTCTCGTAGTAGCTCTGACATACTTTCCATCTGCTGATCGGTTGACAGTCGGGCTTTTCGAGTGTCACAATCTGCCACTCAAGGCATCGGGACTGCCAATCAGTGCGTCAATTCTTCCATACCCCACTGATTGTCATTTTATATCTTTCATTACTGTAACCGTGAGCGTAAATTCTTCTATTAGTAAAGAGTCATCGTAAGTCTAAGCTCATTGCTTTCTGTTTATTCCGCAATAACTAAAATTATTTCTGGGTGTTAAGAGCATTTCCCTTTACTTTTGGACCAATGTGCCTTGTGATGTCCAAGGAACTCCATGAAATCAAATATTACAATCATCAGTAGCGAAAATAGTGGAACGCAGTACTCATGTCACTTTACATTCACGGTCTATTTTTTGGTTATACGTGAAGGGAAAGAGTTAAGTACATATGTTTTTGAATGAAAGACCTGGTCATATATCAGTGATCAAATGGAAATCGCATATATTCTCGCTGTTGTTCCAGCGTTAGATTTCCCTGCGTTTTTGGAACCGTCAGCTGGGTCGTCACTAATGTGTAGGTACCTGTTATGCTGTAGTAAGATTAAAATATAGTCGTTATTTTACCAGAAAACCTATTTGTTTGGCGTGTGACAACTACAAATTCACTGTTATTTTGGGTTCGTGTCAATACAATAATTTTTTTGTTCAAAATTGCATTGCCTCGTGGACATGAATTCCCCTTTGTTTATTTGAAAAGGCCTACTAAAATTAAGGAAATTAAAGTAATTTAGAAACATTTTGCACTATTATTTGTCGAACTTGTTCCACTTCTCCGACCTATTAAATTATATGCTCATGAAAATAGGTCCTACCAAAGCATGAACCTTAAATTTTTACACCATTAATCTAATAAACGACTTCAGTTGCTATGAGCGCTGTGGTGAAAAACGCTGCCTGTTGTTTTGTGGTAGACCTCAAAGGTTAAAAATGTCTTGTTAAAATAAAGAGTGAACAGTCATAGTGCCCTCCTTTTTATTCCGGAAAAAAAATTTGAATCGGTAGTATTGGAATTGGACAGGACGGTACCCATCTAAGGCTTAATTGAGTGTTAGTTGAGTTCATTGAAGACCTTCAATTCGGATGCGCATTCATCAATTCATATAGAGTAAATTAAATACAATATTGGACACACTAAATCACGTACTCTTGGTTTTACACTCCATTAGCTTTTGGACTTATGCAGTAAATTTTACGCTGGCATAGATATTAGCCAAATTTGGGTTGCTCCGTGAGTGAAGTGCAATGGACAGACTACCGGAAATAATTGCATTGTCGGCTAGGCCGGCAGAAAAACAATTGGCGTGTGCTTGTTCAATTTGTTAGCAGCAGTTTGTTCGCCCAACGTCCTTGTCCTCTTAGATGCCATTTGGAGTTGATAACCAGGCTTGATATCTTGTCCTGAGGCTTTTCTGAGTTTTTTACATTTAAGGGTAGCAATCTGAACTTGTGTCAGGTTCCCTCGCCTGCCTGGCTTAGTTAGGGGCTCAGGATGTACAATTTCCCACGTTTTGCACCTGCTTCGGGGGGAAATTAGGGTACTTCCCAATCTGTGTTTTAACTTGTCCTGGACTCTCCGGGAGAGCACTCACAGCACACCTTCGTGGTCGTGCTCAAATTCTTACACGTGTCACCTCTAGGAACTCAGAGCCTTTTCGTCTCCGTTTTTAAGACACTATTTTTTTACCTTGCTGTCAGTTGTAGACATTTTTAGAGATGTTTTTAACTACTTTTATGTATAAATTTTTGGTGACATTACTTTTGGAAACGAGGTAGGTATGACGCAAACAAAGTACGTCCATTTTGATGTGTTCTTGCCAAAAGTCCCAATTTTAGTGACTAGCTTAGGGCATGATCCTAAGTACGCCCTAACAAACGTGACACCATTTGAACTAGTACTCAAAAAATTACTGTATGGCTAGTTAACACGTAAATTAGGGATTTTCTCGATATTGATTATGAAGCCTTGTGTTAAGTCTATATTCAGGCAGGCTAATCTGAATGACAGGACATCGTCAGTGCGGATTTTACCACTTAGGACTTCAGATCTTACTTACTAGCCCCTAGGGAAGCTACTTTGGTTTGGCAAGCCCATTTTCAGATTTTTGGTTATAGACTTGCCTTGATTAGTATAAACAGCTAATTAAAGCAGGACATAATGAATGAAGAAAGCAATCAACGGTACCTCACCTGCTTCCCTCTAGGTGTTTACGCGAAGGTTATGCTTAGCCAAGGCATTCAAAGCAAACTTCTTAAAACAAAGCGTACCGAGTTGCTGGACCAACGGGAGAGTTTTAACGAGTCTTTCACTTTCTCCAAACTCGGAGACCCAAGCAATATTCACATTCGAATTGTGCTCACACAACCGGGTTTCATTGGTAGGATATTTTTTCCTATTTTTCAACTAAAAAATTATCTCCTTATTTAACTCAGGCTATGAAGTTATTCATTTCGAAAAATTTTTTTATTGCGAAGAATGCCTTGATCATTTCGGGTTTTAACATTTAGTAGCATTTCAAACACTTTTCTAAAATATGGAAATTAGTTTAAACGATTATGTGCTTAAGTTACTTGTCTCTTATGCATAGCAACTGTTAAGTTTGTTAAATACACCACTGAACTGCTTTGTAGCGGATTTTGACACGTTTTGCATAATGAAGATATCAAACATGGTCTACTGATGCATATTGCTGCCGTACATCGTAGTTATTCATAGCCTGCAACCTGTAGCTTCTCCAATTAATTAAATGAGTTCATACAAAATACTGTCCATCTTGCTTTGCATCCAAAATGTAAGATGGATTTTCTCCCAATACAAGATGCGGCTTTCAATTCAAGCAAAATAACAACCTGACAAATAGGCCATTTACTGAAAACTAAGAAGAGAAATGGCTCACAATGCACATGAATGGTTTAGCCGAGCAATCGAACAAATTGAAGTGTTATCAAAAAAGGGATCCACGTGTTGAGGTCTTCTCTGTCGGACCAGGTGGTCACGGCGTGGTAGCCAGCTGTAGAATGTCCTACGGCACGAGACAAGCGAGCGACAAATGCTTTAACCGATGGCTCAAGTCAGTTGTGTCCGAGGGTGGGCAAGGCGGCGTGGCACGTACTTGTGCACCGGGGGTGGGAGGCGGGGTTTGCGTGCTCAGACATGTCGACGGGACGGACACGCGGGTCATTGGAAGGGCCAATGAGTCCGGACAGCCGATGTCGACACGGCTGATAGATGTGGATTAACACTGGTCACAACTTACAATTCTCAAAGTGTTGATAGTGAGGCAGTTTACATCGGACACAGATGTGCACTTCCGAGGATTAATGAACTGCAGCTCCAAATATGCCAATAAGGAATCATCCATCAATGCTATTAAATTATTCTGAGGTTTCTTAATGAATTTGACATGCCTGGGTCGTTAGACCGATTGTGTTGGGGTCTTCCCTTCTCCAGAATGCTGATCTTGAAAGTGCTGCTGAGCATATCAAAGAGCTAATTAGAGAGTTAATGTAATTGTCTATTGAGGAACTTTTGATAACTGGAGTCAGTGTAGCATTTTTTTGAGAAATGTAGACATATCAACTTTATTGATTAAATTTTTTTCTATTAAACCACAAAATCGTCCTTTGAGGCATGGCTGCTCTTTTACTGGCATGAAAAGTTGTAATAATCCACTTTACGCCTAACTTGTCTAGGTTTACCCAAATATTGTAGTCTAAATGCACAAGTGCATTGTAAAACCGAGGTTTTCGAGCCTAGTAAAGTGCAGAATAAGGTGGTATGCCTGGCGTTAAAAGCAACCGTTACTGCAGCTCTACTATTTTTTATTATTCTAATTAAGGCAAAAGTTAGCATGAAGATCGAAAAGAAGCAGGAACCTTCCTTTAGTTTCAGCAGTTAAAGTAAGTCATTAGTGCCGCTTAAGATTTAGTAATATCCAGATCTAGATGCGATGGACGCAAATGACCAGTTACTGGCAATGCCATAATCCGAATGACCGGTTTTCGAACGAAATTCCGTCGCTAATGAACCAAAGGCCTCACATCGTCCCATATTCACAATGTTTAATCCAAATAATTTTATGTTTGGAAAGTCAGCATTCTTCAAACGTCTATGCATTTTGCATTAGTTGTCAACTAATCTGTCCAATTTTGAATTCGATCGTTTTTGTATACGACTTGCTCTCAACCTCGCACCTTCAGTTCCCCTAAGCTATTGGTTCACTTCAACTTCGATTGGGCTGTCAATCTAATTGACATTCATGGTAGACGATGAGGCCGCAAAATTTCTCCCCAGAAGCCCATATCTTTGAATTTACCCAAGAACGTTGGGTTCTATGCTGGTCATTTTCGCTTTTCGATGATGTGTGTGTGTGCCTTGATTGACCTTCAAATTCTGCACTATAGTGAACGGGTGAACTAAAAATAAAAATAAAACTTGATTTTGCCTGAATTTTAGTGCAGTTGTAACGGACACCATAAAGCACTAAACATGGTTTTCTGACCAAGTAATATCCATATTTTTGCCTCTTTGCAATGAATTACCATAGGCCGAAACCTTTGTTGTCGTAATAATTGCCTTTTGTAATTGTATGACTATTAATGTCCATAATTATTATTCAATGTTTTCAGATAAACCGGTTGCCATCGTCGTTCTCGGCAACGAAATGGTTTCCAAGGGCAATGGAATTTCTCATTGGGCCTCCGTGATGGAGCATCCAGAATTGACCGTCACCGAGTGTCACGAATTGCAGCCGTTATGACATCGCAGCCGCATTCGATCAGTCTTCGAATGACGATTTTCTTTCCAAAGCCACATTAAGATAAAATAGGTCCCTGCTAAAACTAACTTAATCACCTAAATCGAGGGTGTTTCATTTAACTAATGAAAAAAACTATTTTCCAATGTACAGAGACCGTTTATTCAGGATGAAAATCGCTGTTTTGAGTCAGCAAGCCACCAAACGAGATCATAATTCGTCCGTGACCTACTGCATAGTTCGTAATTCCGACTGAGGGCATTGTAAATGCCTTCAATCTGGCTTTTGCTCATTAGGAAAGACCATGTATCTGAGGTTACTGAATAGATGCTGAAAAGCAGAACAAAGCTTTAGAGAATTGGGGCCGCAAGCAAGTTAGCAAACGCAATGTTTAAAACCGGCACCCATTCATAAAATTTCTATGACGCCAAACTCTTTTAAGCGGCTCAAAAGGATACATAACTAGCATCGGTACAAAGGGGCTTTAAGGTGTGCCTAACAGTTAAGTGTATGCGTAACTCTCTGGGGATTTACCAACTTTGCAACCGAATACACGTAGATGAAATCAAACTTGAGAGTCTGCCCATTAAATCGCCTCCTCATGGGATTCGAAAATGAATGGATTAGCGAATTTTGACAATTTTTAGACGCAAAGTCATTCAGTGTCCAGTTTGCAGCCAAATTGTCACCTTTTGACCTCCGTTTTCTTATTTAAACAAGTAAATAAGGGTTCTCCTAATGATGCTTCATGCAGATCATATTTTGTAGATTTGATTAGAGTTTGCACATTTTCAAATTCACAAAAAGATGTCATTTGCTGAATTTTTGCACAAAATCTTGATTTCTTAATGTGGGATGAATTCTACTTTAATCGTGTAACATTGTCACGTGCTTGCGTTTTTGAATTAGTTAAGTGTGGCAGGAGATGAGGCGGGATTTGTAAATCTGGTATGGACATGACCTTCTGGCTGTTCGATGTCTTAAAACTGAAAATTAACCTTGCCTTCGAACAATCAATTAATTATTAGTTAATTATTTTTAATGCAAACTGGTCAACGTAAATATTATGCAAAATAGTGAAATGAATTATCAGATGCATTCTACATTACCATTAGCCGCATAACATTTTATTTGCCATGAGTTTGATGCCTTTTATTCTGACTTCATTTTTAACCACTTTACTTGGCAATGTAGGCAAATATGATTTGGAAAGTATTTAAGGAGGCAGGACACCGGCTTGCTCAGACCCGAGAGGCATTGCGAAAGGCTTGAAGGTCAGCTACTCTCTCTTTCCAATTAGCATTCTCCGCATTTTTTCGCTGCGGCAATATCCTTTCTTATTTGTTGATTTAAGGATTCAGATGGCATACATATAATTAAATTATTAGTTATTTATGATCCTAGATACTCTTAAGGCACAACGACTGATTGACGATTTCTCTTGCAAATGGCTTTTAGTTTGTCGTTTAAGGATCGATGCTAATTTGACCTTTTAAATAATCCGAAAATTGCTTCCATAATCACTTCAAATATAGGCTTCAGCAAGTTTTTGATCACATCCAAGGGTTTCGAATAATTTGTGCGGTGTCAAGTAAATGTAATTTTGTCCTATTTTATCCAACCAATTAACTTCAGTTGTGTGAAAAGTAAAACAATTCTGACACAACCGGAAATTAATAAAAAAGTTATAAAACTATCCAGTAAAGAAAGTCACCAGTTTTGCATAATGGGCCCTCACCTTCATACTTCTACAAAAATTACCTACTAGAAGGCAACATATCATACGTCAACTCGTTAAGCTCTCAGTCATGGTGTCCTTGAAATACCATATTGATCCCAACACAATACTCTTTTCCTAACTTTTGAATCTACTCACGATCAAATTGACAAAGTCGATTTGAACTTGAATGCTAGTGACATTTCGGCCACACCTAAGTTGGTGATTACCACTACCGATTATGCAATAATTCTGCATGCAAATTTCTCATTTTAATTAATGCATATAATGCATTTCGTCGCCTGAAAAATAAAGTACACTTTGAATACCCTTCTTGGCAATCATTATTACGAATACAACTCTAAAAACTGGCAAAAACTGAGGAAAATTTTCAAGAAATGTAACCTTTCCACCGGCTTTAGCCATACAATTCGGCACCAACCGCTTAACTCACAATGTCCCTTTACATAATTTTAATAAGAATTCGAATCTATGCATCTTCAATGAGGAAGAGTACACAAAGTCGAAATGATATTTGGGTACGAAATTCACATAGCTTCTTAAATGTTAGTATACCATCGGAATGATGCACCCAATACCTGTTGTATATTTTGTTAGCAGCAAGCTGAACATGAAGCGAAAGCTGCTTGCCCTATTTCCGGCTCATGAGGAGGAGGGGAGTGCAGTGCCGTTTACGCGAATGTATGTTTTCACAAATCCAGATTTGCAAAGCTCTGAGTACGAAAAACGCTTCGGTTATGAATGCGCATGTATTTTTATGCTTGTCTGGAGAATATGATCTTGTATAGTTAGTTTTCTTCACCGGCAAACTTCATAACACGATTATTAGAGTTCATTTTTGAAGCCATCCTTCTATTTAAAATTATACAAGTGATGTGGCACTTAGCAAAATCATCTTGGTGTATATCTTAATAGTACACAGCACCGACCTTTCAAGCTAAATGGGCAGAGCGCAGGTGGCATGATTCGCAGGAGACTATTTCCGATGATAATAAAAATAGAATCATTAAATAATTGTTTTTGTCCATTTAATTTACATGGTGCCATTTTTTCATAATTAAGTTCTAATATTTAACATTTACCAGTTCTAATAAAAAAATCAGCTGCTCACAATTGTCAATTAAGTAATGTGGTTTTGTAAAGACGATTTCACAGTGTCAATATATTTGACATTTATGTTAATAAAAGACATTTACCGGTAGGATTCCGTATTACCTCCGAGATCCCCGCATAACACAACATTATCGACCTTGGCGTTTTGCCGTCGTGATTGCTGTCATTTTACAGTCTATTACTCCATTTTCAACACTATTCTGCTGTTGTGGTAAACTATCTTTTTACCGGTGACCTCATGGCGTTTTACCTCTGGATGGATGCCTTGATTTGCGACACAAGCCATGATGGACTGAGGTAGATATAGTGTTTTTTGCATAGCTTAGAATGCTCCGAATTTCACATGTTTTTACAACCTCTTTTTTATCATGCCACCTTCCATAGCTAGCCTAATACAGGAACCCTTGTAGGAGATCAACCAGTAGCACGGTAAGGTTAATGACTGTCGATAACCATTATATACTTCTAATATGCATCTCAAGATTTAGAAAACATTGGTTTCTTAACGCAGCAATACAAGATTGAAACAAAGCGACTTACGAAATGACAAAAACTCTTGGTCCTACCTGCATGCTTTAATCTCATCTGTATTTGCTTACTCATCTAATGATACTTCATTCATCCGATGAATTGGCTTTAAAAAGTCACTCCCTCTTTATTGGAGATGCAAATTAAGTAACTGTGGTTTGCCAACTTCTAGATGGGGCACAGTGTTGTGGTGTCTGTATTCGTATTGCCCTCCCAATGTTGCACCGTCCATGGGTCTCCCATCAGAGATTCGGCTTTCTAATAGTCTTGCATGCTTCACGCATTTTATGTTGCTTGCATAATTTTACCGATTTTAAAATTTCCCCAGTCTGAATTGTAGCAGCTGCATAGATTTCAGTAAGCCATCAAGCTCTAATTTTTAACATCAAAAAAATTTGCCGGATTTCATCTTTAAGCATCGAACTTTCTGACAGAAACCCATTTGTTTGTTAAAAAAAGCTCGTTTATAATCTACTAAACTATGCAGATAACAACCTTTGTTGGGACGTAATAAGGAGCCATTAATAACTGTCGAAAACATGAAGTAGTTAATTTGACTGCTCACTCTCCGACTACCCTCTTCATTGGCCTTACGACCGACGCAACGAGTTTATGAAATAAGTAACCATGGCAGCTAATGGGCTTAAAGCTTTAGTTAGTTTCTAGGCACTTAAACGAAGTCAATCGTGGGAAATAAGCTCGGCAAAATAAATTTATGCTGGTGATGTCTCGAAAGCCCAAAGTTTTGTATTTTAATGATTGCATGGTGTTGCTTCCAATTTTTCCCAGGAGATGCCGGTTCTGCTACCTTGTGCTAGTTGAAAAAATCATCCCATGAATGTTCATGAAACAGTGCAAAATTAGTGTTAGTTACTTAGAAACCAAAGTCACCTTAGTTTCATGGGTCACAAAAACGCGTGAGACATATTTGTTGCTTAACTTGTCTGTGGTCTTCAGGACGCCAAGATGCGGAGGTCTCACCTTGTTGATAGTACCCACGGGTACCCGTCGACAGAACCCGCTTGGGTGGACAGTTCATTGTGTTAACGTTTGTGTTCAACCACGCTGCTTTAGCTTCCATAACAAATCAAGACATGGAAAGTTTTAACCCATATTTATCATGTAGGTGGGAAACTCCTACGGCTAAAGTTAGATACAGTTCATGACGTATGTAAAAATGTTCCCTCTGATAAATCCATTAAAATGTCTCTGTCTTCCTGGGGGATCATTTTCTTCCTCGCTCCCTTATATCGTTTCCATGGAGACTTTCTACTGTTAATTTTTTTTAAATTATGGCTCATAATCCGTATTATTTTGTCCATGTAACTTCCTTACTATCTGATATTAGTCCGATGTGACGTCAAAGAGAAGGCTGGAGTTTAAATACAAATGACGCCAAACTGGCTGATGTTTCTAAATGTGATAACGAGGCGGTAAAGCCGACAACGAATAATTATCTGTTATTTCTACATGGATTAATTTTATTTTAGACAATAAATATGCCAACAAATTAAACTATAACAGTATCAAATATCACTTTAATTAGCTAAGCAAGCAGACTAGGTCCAAATAATTTTGATGCTTGCCACTTTTCCCATAAATTTTTTTTCAACATGAAATGCTT